TTTTCGCAATGCCTTCAACACTGTATCCCGAGACGTAATTTTGGATGCTGTTCATACCCACTTCCCCGAATACGATGCATTCTTCTGGTCGGCGTATGGGCATCATTCGTCCTTGTTTATTGATCAGACGATGCTGTCATCTGAATCTGGGGTACAGCAAGGCGATCCGTTGGGACCCCTGTTATTTTGCCTTGCACTACTCCGTGTAATAGCTACGCTCAGTACTGAGCTTAACGCTTGGTACCTGGACGATGGGACCCTGGGCGGAGCGCCGGCGACAGTAGTGGAAAATTTTACTCGGGTTATTGAAGGCGCCCGTGCCATTGGACTGGAAATAAATGAGTCTAAGTGCGAGCTTTTTGTATCAGGAGGCACTGAAAGCGAACGGCAGGAAGTTGTTGAGGACTTTGTTTCGCACCATCCACAACTCCGTGTGATGTCCAGCTCCACTTTAACACTGCTAGGCGCCCCGGTTCTGGACGACGCGATTGGTGACACTCTTGCGGAGAAATCATGCGCCATAAAGACAGCCTGTGAACGCTTGCAACTTCTTCCTCGCCACCATGCACTATATCTACTCAGATATTGTTTGGGCGCCCCGAAAATAATATATGTGCTCAGATGTTGCAATGCCTGGAAAAATCCCAACCAGCTTTACCAAATCGACGAGGCTATACGTTCATGTTTTCAAGAACTAAGTAACGTTCGTGTGAACCATGACGACTACCCATGTTGGCGACAAGCGACTCTTCCGGTTAGTCGAGGAGGTATTGGCATATGTCGTGCGGAAGAATTATCACTCCCAGCCTTCTTGGCTTCGATTCACTCCGCATTTGATTTGTTATCGTCGATGCTTCCCCATTATCCGGCAGTGGACGCTTCAGAAGCAATACAGCTGTGGAAAACGAAGGCTCGGCAATCTGAAATCCCTGAAATTGCATTCCGGAAGCTGCAAAAAACGTGGGACCTGCCGCTCTGTAATGAGTCAGTTTCAGTCTTAATGGACTTGTTTTGCCATGATCGGGTTAAAACAGCCCGCCTACTCGCACAGTCAAGACCGGAAGCTGGCATCTGGCTGAACGCGCTTCCCTCAGCCCACATCGGCAACCTCCTCGACGACGATACGATGAAAATCTCAATTGGCCTGCGTCTTGGAGCGGATATTTGTGAGCCGCATAACTGTACCAAATGCCATAAACTGGTTGACAAGCTCGGGCACCACGGGCTATCGTGCAGCTACTCGGCCGGTAGACATGCGCGACACGGAGGTTTAAACAGTATCGTGTGTCGGGCTTGTGTTTCAGCTGGCATCCCAGCTAAGCTTGAACCTCGCGGCACGTCCTCCACAACAGATCAACGCCCAGACGGTTGTACAACGTTTGCTTGGAAAAGAGGGATGTGCCTGGCCTGGGATGTGACGTGCGTCGACACAATAGCCCTTTCCCATCTTCAGTCTACGTCGGTTACGGCAGGTGCTGCTGCTGCTCAAGCGGAAGAAAGGAAGTCCCAACTGTATGCCTATCTGCAAGGGCGCTACATTTTTTCTCCAATCGCCTTTGAGACGATGGGTCCTTGGGGCCCGTCGGCCATCGCCATTGTAAAAGAGTTGGGCAAAAGACTGCAGCAGCATACCGGAGAGCGTCGATTGCATGAATTTCTGCGTCAACGGTTATCGCTGGAAATTCAGCGCGGAAATGCAGCATCTATCCTTGGCACTATAGACGGAGAGGATAGCTTAAACGAAGTTTTGCTGTTGTGAAAAATGTAATGTGTTTAGTTTTCTTCCACCTGATTTGTCCATTGTTATTAATAAAGAGCGCTAAATCACTTACCGGCACTTTGTGCACAATTCCGCTCGACGGTCGTTTCCCAATACTGCTCGGCATTTTTTCGGTACTGTAAAATAAGAGAGGATATAAATATTTTGTAGAAGCTACGACAAATATCCAGATAACGAACCCAAAAAACCAAGGAAATCAAAGAAGGTTTAAGAAAATCCAAGAAAGCCGAAGAATACATACGACAACCTAAGCGATGCTAACCTTCCTGCTTTATGCGTTTCTTCTTCCGGCACTGGCCACGAGTCATAGCGTAGCTGGCTTGAGGTGTCCATCCTGGATAGGTTTGCGCAAGCTTTTCGCGCTCTTGTTGTGCCATTGCGTAATACCTGCTCTGCTCAGCGCCATCCAATGATTGCCACTAAAAATTCTGAACAGTTGCATAACAAGCTTTCCAACGACCGCGACCGAGTGGTGACGCCCACCTTCTGGCCCAAAATCCGGATCTAGAGAGCGCAAGTACAGAGACCTTACCGGCAAGCTTCACACCATTCCGCTTGACGGTTGATTCCCAGTACCTTTCCACATTTTCCCGGTACTGCAAAATAAGAGAGCATATTCAATACTAGAGGCTTATTAAATTATCAAAGGAATTATCAAAGCTTTGGGCAAACGACTAGAGCAACACACAGGCGAAACCCGTTCCCATGAATTTTTACGGCAAAGATTGTCTTTAGAGATTCAGCGTGGTAACGCGGCATCGGTTATGGGAACGATGGAAGGAGCGGAAAAGTTTAATGAGATTCTCATGTTGTAAAAATGCTGATGTTTTGAATTAATTCAAAATTACGTTGTACCGCAGGTGAAATAAAATATACTAGAGGAGATATTATGTTAATAGAAGTTAGCGATTATATCGCTAACTTAGGTTAACGCAGTTGAGAGAAACGCTGGCTCTAGAAAGTTCCTGAAATATCCGCAAAGGCATTCCCAACGCAAGTGATCGGCTAACCTCTTGCCGGACGCCATCTTGCCTTTGTTCATCGCGGTGTTGTGCATATATCGCTCTTTATAGCAAAGTTGCATTCGGAAGTCATTTTTGTTGCATCTGAAAATCGTGGTTTCTTTTCTTGTTGCTGAAGACTTTGTGCGGTAAATTTCTTTTCTGTTTTCCACCTGCAATTTTGGTCAGTGACCTTTGGTGTGTTTTCTTTAACCACCCTCCCAGCCTTTAGCAACTTCTATATTGATTAAAGGCACAACCCATCTCACTGCTCTCTCCCGCCACGGTACGCACGGAACCGCACCGGAAGGGAACGCAGCAAGCATTCGCATTCTCATATACACCCTGGCCACGAATCAGGGTTCCTGGAGCGAGCGCGCACCAGGTGCATTCTGCATAACCTAAATCCGCATTCTTTACCAGCAAGCATTCCTTCCGGTGGTCGAGCATGTTCTGCAGCTACCTTGAGACCTTGCAGTTGAGCATTGGGTTGGCCAATGTCCCAACACCTCGTTAGCGTTTCTCGAGACATTAGCGTTAATAAGAGAATACTGCAAAAATATAACAGGGTATTAAAAGCTGTGAAAAATATGCTGATTCCGTGCCTGAGGGAAGCTAAGCAGGAACCATCCGAGGTTTCCTTCTAACTTGTATGCTTGGTCTTCCCGCTCCGGCGGCGAGCATAGCGGTCATCAGCTGTCCATTCTGGATAGGTTTGTGCATATTGCTCGCGCTCCTGTTCAGTCATTGCGTAATACTTGTCCTTCTAAGCGCCCTCCAAAGAGCGCTACTAAAAATTACGAGCATTTGCACAACAAGATTTCCAACAACCGCGACGTCTGGCCCAAAATCCGATTAATGGCCGCAGAATCTGCCAGCACGTATTTGGCGCACACTCGGGCGCGCTACTCCAGCGTATACAGGATGAAGGCGTTCAACGGCTGTGTCTAAACACTTTTTCTTGTGTCTTAAAGTGGAAAATACAACTGATTAGTGTACACTGCGTCCAAACGTTCTTGCAATAAAGCGTTGTAAGGGCACCGCGACCTTTCGCCGAGGACGTTTTGGTCGCCGACATTTCGCCGCATAACCACCTCGCAGAGAAAACTTTATTGTTATTATAACAACAACTCGCTGATCGACAGCTTGCTGAACGGCCCTCTGCTTAACACCGACACTTTGCTGACGACAATTATGAGACACAAATATAAATATGCAAACGAAGATAAGTACTTTTTTTCACGTCACAACCTAAGTTGAGTCATACGGAGGCATCCAATAAACAGTAGCTTATCTTGCAAGGCTAAGCTGTTAACTTTGGGAGCCCCTTTGCGTACCGCCATCATTGTAAATTATAAAAAAACAACAAATTCATCAAATTGGTTAATCAATACTTTTATTAAGAGTAAATTATTATGCCGTACAGAAATGTTAGGAAAACTTCAAAACCAAAGTAAATAAGATAAATTTTATAGAAGAGCGCGCGATGCGCTTATGCTGTAGTATGAGAAATAAGCCACTTATTTGGGCTGCCATTTCAAAAAACTACTCCGGAGTAGTTTCTTTATTGTGCTTTTCCTGGGCGGGATATGCAAGTTCTGCATATCTGCGTCACGCAGTATGGACCAACTGCCGTAAAGGGGAGGTCGCTGTGACGTGAAGAAAAGTGCTTTTCTTGGCTTGCATATTTATATTGGTGTCCCATAAATTTGATGATCAATAAAATAGCTTTTCGAAGCCTGCCAAAAACTCAAGAAGCCAGGAATGCCTATAAAGACAGAGATAACCTAGGAAGACCTAAGACAATGTAGGAAAACCTAAAAACCCTAAGAAATCATAAAAAGACTTAACAAACCGAAGAAAACCTACGAATAACCTAAATAAACCTCTGAAATCATGAGACAACCTAAGAGATTATAACAAACGTAACACTGACGTAACAGAACACTAAGTAACTTAATAAACCCAGTAAAAGCACTTAGGAAACCAAGAAACTGACCGAAAAGCAAGCTGGGGGTTAATGAAATAGTTCCGCAAAATGGCGGGCAGCAAAATTGTAGAAAACCGAAAGGTCGATCAACAACCTGTCTCTCAGGATAATCAGCAACATGCGGGCAGCAAACCGGAGGTCGAAACCGAAATTATTAATATGTAAGAAATCTTAAGAAAAACTAACAAAATTCAAAACCAACAAAAACCGGCAAGCCGTGAAACCTAACATAGAGAAACGTGCAAAAACTAGCCGAACCTCGAGGTTCGGCATACATACCGAACCGAGTTCTTTTGCGGCGAATTGTCGCAGTTTTCGAGATTCCCAAGTCAAATTCTTCGCGAGCATAGTGCTACCGGCAAAGTGCAAAAGTATCAAAGCAATAACTATGTCCCAGACCGAAATGTCACAGCATCCGTATGTCTCGCTGCGAATAAAAGTCGCGCCGCGAGAAACATACTGCTTACCGACATGCTCTACACCATTCCGCTCGACGGTCCATTCCCAATACAGCTCGACATTTTTTCGATTCTGCCAAATAAAAACGGATATTTAAACTGGCGGAAAAAAACGAAGATAAGATACTTAAATAGGCTTAACCCGCTGACGCCCATTGGTGTTGGGGCGCAACAGGGTCTTTAAGATGTTTTTCTTAATGCACAACAGCAATTAATCGATATCAGTTAGCGTAATTAGCGTTGCGAGACCTTGCAGCAGCAATAAAAAAACAAACCAAACTGGAATCTTAAGTCCCTCAGGAACCACGAGTTCCCAAAAGTCGCTGATTTAGAACTTTCTAACCTTCAAGAGTTCCTCGTAATTAACTAATTAGTCACTGAGTTAATTAATCTGAAATAATTCAGTAATGTACTTTCAGTGATGCTTAATTACGTAGTAACAAGCATCGGTTCCGAAAATTGAACAGTAGATGGCCACAGTCCATCGAAAACTCGTGTTGCGTACAGATACCATTGGGCATGTGTGGTCCTGAAGTATGGGCGGGTGCAATTTCGACACTGTTATAATAATGTAAGTCGGATAAGGGATTGTTGGCTCTGACTTCTAACGTGCTTGACGTGGTTCTGCTTGCCGGAACGCTTCCAAAAACGATTTAGTTAAGCAGCACCCTGGGCGGTCGGCCATAGCCTCGAACGATCGAATCAGTGGTCGTTTCCGGGCAACGAAACCTTCAAGATAACCGAGCGAGGCAGCCATGTTTCGTAACCTGCAATAGTGCAATGCCACTAATCGGCATGACAACCCTGCAGTCGGTCTTGCGCCTTTGCGATCTCCACCAACCGGACGTTACAAGGTTGTAGGCGAGCAGAAAAGAAGTACGCCAACCTTTAGTAGCCGTAGATGATAACAACTTCAATAAACACATGACCGGTAGTGAGCAGTGACCTTTGCGCCAGGTTTCTTAGTAATATTCGGCCGATGCTGCGTGTGTAATGGCGGCTGCTGCTTCCAAAACTTCTGATGTGAGCTTTGCACATCACTACCAAACGTGCTACTGGACCATCCTTGCTGATTTCCGATGCAAATGCATGGGCAACATCCATGAAAGTGCATGCATGCATGATGTAGGCGTGGCATAAAGACTGTTACGCGATACGTGATACAAAACGTAACGGCTATTTCAAGAACAGGATTGTTGAAAATCGCTGTAGTTGGTGTGTCCATTTATCCACCATTACTATATCATGCAAAAACCGTTTCTGTTATTTTCCAGTTTTTAGTGACCAGTGGTCAGTTTGCTGACCACTGCAATACCCTTGTTTTGAAGTCCTCTTTATGGACTATACGATGGACGTTTTTGTTTCGGTCAGTTGTTGTTCGCCGAATTGTTATAGAATTAAACGTTTTCACGATTTGGACCGTCTACGCCCAATGGTGTTGCTAAACACCCAGGTCACAGCCGGTGACCTATGGTCAGTACAAGCACACAAAAAATTCCCTTTCTTAATTGAATTTTTTCATCGGAAAATCCAAGTTTTCACAAAGAAACTCCGACCCCTTCGGGTAGTGAGCGTTGGAGGGTTAAGAAACTTCAGAAATCCTTAGAAAACTGAAAAACAGCTCATAAAACCTCATCGAATCTAACCTGTCGCCTTCTCCTCCTTCCTTAAACGTTTCGGCTTCCGGTGCCGGCGCAGAGCCCAGTGGTCTTTAGCTGTCCATCCGGGATAGGTTCGTGCATGCGTTTCGCGCTCTTTTTCAGCCATTGCGTAATACTTGCTTTTCTCAGCGCCATCCAACGAGTGCCACTAAAAATTACGAGCATTTGCAAAACAATATTTTCAACCATCGCGATGGAGTGGTGACGCCGACCTTCTTGCCCAAAATCTGGTTAATGGCCGCAGAATCGGTCAGCATGTGTTCTGTTCGCACTTGGGCGCGCTGCTCCTTCATGTACAACATGAAGGCATTCAGCGGCTTTTTGATGCGATTGCCTTTCTCGTTGTTTGCCTCGCTCCTGCTCGATGTCGGCAATAAAAATCAATTCGAATGGAATAAATTAAAATTATGGTCAAATAAAGTGTAAAGTTAATGCAACCGCCAACAACTCCAAACCACGAACCAGCGAAGGCTAAAGGTCACTTCGGCCATTTTCATTTCCGCCACGCTTATTTCGGCCAGAGTTTTTCAGCATCACTTACTCGCTAGCTTCCACACCCTTTTGCTTCTGGGTTTCCCATATTGCAACAGTATATTTTCAGATTCGTTGCAATTGATTTCAGATATTCCATACTAGTTTATCCTCCATACTACCAAGAAGAAACCTCCAGGAAACCTGAGAAAAATATAACAAAGCCTAAAACACATGAAAAACCCTAAGAAATCTAAGAAAACCTTAACAAGGGATGACGGGAACTGATCGTAGGCTCGTAGCCATATAGTAGCCACACGGGCTTTACCTGGTACAGCGCGCGTTCACGAACTCTGCCGTATGCTAATGCGACAAACATATGTTAATTAACAGAAAATTAAGCTCTTTGAATTAGGTGTTACTGCCTGGAACATGTTGCCTCTTGCCGGTAGAAAGCAAACTGAGAGAACTGCCGCGCCACGACCGCACAGTGACTTACGTCTCTCCGCACACCGAGTGCTTTCTAAGCCGGTCAGCTGAGGCTTCCACATACACCGCACAAAAGAAGCGTCGATAATTAAAACCTGACAGGAAATAAATCGGCGACGGTTTGACAGGAATAAAATTTTAAACCAGTACAAACATAAATCACACTCGTGTGTGACAGTTACAGCAAGGTCGACACGTTCCTTTTGATAAACACTCACTAACTGGGCTGTGACTATCAGCTGAAGCGCTTTATGGTAGTATTTCAGTTGTAACTGTAATATTCGTGATACATGTACGACTGGCTGCAGGCCGACGGAACAGTGCTGCAGTATCGATCGCCGGCCAGAGACTTTCAATACAGTTTTTTTTACGTGTTGTCAGGACAACGGAATCGAACGGGCTCCTGCGCATGCGGTTGGTACATCGGCCCTACACGCTGTGATCGTACATTCCATAGCAACGAACCGCATGACGTATCTGTATGTATTGGCCGTTTGTATAAGAAAACATAAGAAACCTAAGAAATTCAACAGTATTTATGTATGCGGGCAGCGGGATACACAAAAGGATGCGTCAGCTTACAGCTTACTGATGTTTTTAGCTACCGTGAACACCGCTGACTATCCCAGCTGCAACAACCCATGCAGACGGTCATCCATACATATGCCCGCATTAATGGATTTCGGTCTGGATTAAGAGTGTCTCTGATTTGAAGTTATAGTCTACTTTCACGCATTTTCTTCTCTTTTAGGAGCCAGAGGGATTATCTAGGGGCACCCAATGTTTCCTTTTATGTGGTAGGTTTACAAGAAATAGGTAGTACCACTTATGACCCAACCATTGAATTTATTACTTACTGCCACCCAGCTTTGACCGGGTTTGACGTATCACTGCAAAACTGGGCGGTATGTTGGACAGTTGGAGAGTGTCGAAGGAATTGTGGGCCTACGACCGTATGCACTGGCATAAAGCTGGAGTCCTGGACAAGCTCATTTGGCAGTGTGCACATCAATCTCACTGTACCAACGCTGCAGAATGCATGGCTGTGGTATTAAAGCGACTTGACAGTGTTTGTGCAGCATGCAGTAAAGGTCATCAGAAATAACCGTACGAACACGGGACAGTTAATAGCGGACTGAAAAAAACATGCGAGGGACTTTTTTTACAAGCAACCAACCATGAACGTGGACACTGTTCCGTACAACCCAAAGCGAACAAGATAAAAATACACAATTAAAAATAATACGCAAATTCCCAATCATCCTCGGTCCGGTTCAGAAGTGAGAAGGATGCCGTTGCTTCCATTGTAACGTCTACAGTGCATTAACGCCGTCCCAGAAATCCACAATAAAAGCATGAGATTGCAGAAGAAAACATAAAAAAACATCCACAAAACGAGTCAAAGATCCATGTAGACCAACCAATCGTCCGCTTTGTCAACTGCCAGTCTCCTGCTTCTTAAAGTCTGACACGGACGACGACAGGTACTTGTTCCGCCAGTTGATTAAGTCCGGAGATGCACCGGAGGCCGCTGCATCAGCGGACGGCGCGGGAACCGGCGCAGTAGAGGCCACACCGGACACAGACGCAGTCGCAGGTTGAATAAGGCAGAGTGCTCACTTCCTCGTTGAGCGGAAGAGCTGCGTTTTGCAAGAATCGTATACACTTTCTCCCGAGTCTAAAATGCAAGATACAGCCAGTTACCTAGTACACACTATATTGAGTATATTCCAACATTTTGGCCATTAAACGTTGTAACGGCAGCGCGACATTTCGCCGAGGACAAGTTGTGATCGCAGACATTTCACCGCAAAACAACTCGTAGCGCGAACATTTGTCACAGGCTTTCAAGACAGTTTTTGGTCAGCGCGACATCCTGCCGCGATGCATTTCGTTGCGAGACCGTTTCGTCTGCGCGTCAATTTGTGTTCGAGGGCACACCGACAACTTGCTGACGACTTTCTGCTGACCGACGAAATATTGACCCGACAGTTTGTTGAAACGGCAAACCGCTGAACGACACCTGGCTGAACGACTTTTGTGAACACCGATAACTTGTTGACGACATTTTGCTGACGTGAGAGACCTAAGAAACCTAAGAAAAAACAACAAGAAATCGAGAAAAACTCAAAAATCAGCGCGTCGAACCGAAAAGCCAATTGTCGGCCAGCAAAAATGTTTCAACAAAACGTCGGTCAACAAGTTAGCAGAATAGCAAATTGTCGGTCAACATTTTGTAGTTCAGTGATCGTGTAAGTCAGCAACATGTCGGTCAGCAAATTGTCGGGCAGCGAATTGTAGGTCGGCGAATTAACGTGCTACCGTGTACGAGTACTACCTGAGCAGACGAACAGTTTATTAGGCTTACTAAACACAGCCAGGCAAACTGTAAACATGCGGAAGCCAAACCAGGAAACCCAAGAAATCGTAAGAAATCTACGTCTGAAAGCAAAATGCCCCAAACCGACATGTTTCAGAGTTCGTATGTCCCGCGGCGAAATAATTCGCGCGTCATGTTTAAGGAAAATGACCCGGTACATAATACCAAATTCATGGGCATACACGAAAACTTTCACTTTCGCCCACTCCCAAACACTTCTTTGCTTTGTTTTATGACGTTCTGCAGCCATATGATTTGTATAGGTACATAACCGCGGAAACCGCTTGTGCGCGCAACATCCGGTTCGGGAGTTATGGCTGTAAGAAAATTCCATAAAGTTTAAATACATTCAGGCGTACAAAAAGTCTCATTATCGACCGATCTTCTTTAAACTTTGCACATGTATCCATGTATGCATGAAGATTGTTTTTACACCGAACCAAAGTTGTACCATTTTTTTCAAATTTTAAAATAAATTTCACAAATTTAAAAATTCATTTTAAAATATGAAAAAAATATTAGAACCGAGGTTCGGTTTAGACGCGATTTTCATGCATATGTGCGTCTCCAGGCAAAATTTCAAGAAGATCGGTCGATAATAAGACTTTGGTACATCTGAATGCATTTAAACTATTTGGAATTTTCTAACAGCCACAACTACCGAACCGGATGTTGCGCGCACAAATGGTTTTCACGCCCCGTGTATACAAATCATCTGGCTACAGAATGTCATGAAACAAGAGAAAAAGGGTTTGGGAGTGCGCGAAAGTGAACGATTTCGTGCATGTACACGAGTTTGGTACCAAATACCGGGCCATTTCCTTTAAGTGCCGCGAAATGTCAGACATCCAACAGTCTGGGTGCGATCACAGACACGAACTGCTTACCGGCATGCTGTACACCATTCCGCTCGACGGTCCCTTCCCAACACTGCTCTGCATTTTTGCGGTTCTGCAGCCGGAAGCACGATATTAAAATCTGCGGAAAATATGTAGATAAAATAAGAAACCTAATAAAACATAAGCGAAGCTCAACATTCCGGCATTTCCTTCTTCCTTAAACGCTTCGTCTTCCCGCGCCCGCTCAGGACATATCTGCCCTTACCTGTCGATCCTGGATAGGCTTTAGCATGCTTTTCGTGGTGTTGCACAGCCACTGCATAATACTTATTCTGCTCAGCGCGATCCAAAGATTGCCACTAGAAGATCAATTATGCAACCAGATTTTGTACAACCGCGATCGCGTGGTGGACGCCCACAATCCGTGCAATGTCCAAAGAACCCGTCAGCATGCATTCGGCTTGCATTTGGGCTCGTTGTTCTTTCAAATACACCATGAAGGCGTTCAACGGCTTTTTGATGTGGTTTGGTTTCTCTTTCTTCGGTGCGCGCCGGCGTTTCTTCGCTCCAGATGATAAAGCAGCAGAATGTGGCACCAGTGATGCACTGACCGTTCCATTCGTCGATAACCTGTGTCAAGTCAAAACCATTCCATAATAAAGATTAATTCGAATGAGCAGGTGGAATAAATGAAAATCATGCTTAAATCAAGTGTAAGGTAAACGCAACAGGCAGCAACTGAATGGTCTTTAAGCAACCAGCCAGCAACGACTTAAGGTCACTTTGGCCACATTTTATTTCTGCCTACGCTCGCTTAGGCCGCAATCCTCTGGTAATTACAAAGTACTATTGATTTAATTCACACTTTCCCAACGGTGCAGATGTTGATTATCTAATTGTTTTGTCGGTGAAACAATATTTACAGTCCCAGCGTCGACGAAGGAGATGCGCAAGAGGCCGTTGAATCAGTGGACGGCGCGAGAACTGGTATCGATGGGGCCGCAGCGGACACGGGCGCCGCCGGCGTAAGATCAGGCACACCACTCTCTTTCTCGTTGAGCGGTAACGCTGCGTTTTGCGAGAACCTTATACACTTTTTCTTGCGTCTGAAATGCAAGATTCATGTACAGCCAATTATGTAGTACACACTACATTCTAACGTTATAGTAACAAAGCGTTGCAAGGCCAACCTGACATTTCCCCGAGGACAACCAGGTGCAGGACATTTTAGTCGCCGAAACCAACGCGCACCACTAACTCTCTTCACACGAGGTTTGATCAGCACGACCGTTCGTTGCGAGGGAGTTTCGACGCCGCGACAATTCGAGTACGAGAATAGAGAATAGCTATGACAAACGGCTTAGTGAGCTTGCTAAAACAGCCATGAAAACCAAGAAAACCTGAGAAATCTAAAAACCAAAGAAATCCTGAGAAAACAAAAGACCATAAACCTGAAAACCAACAAACCAAAAAACTTAAGCAACTTGTAAAACCTAGACGCATCGAATTTTTTCGCTGTGAAATGTCGCAGAATTGCATACTCCAAAGGCGAGTGCTTCGCGACGACGCGACCATACCGCCTGCGATTTCGAATGCGGCGAAATGTCACGCACCCATTGGTCCGCGTGAGTTCGCACATCAGGCGCAAGTGCCCTTACCGGCATGCTTTGCACCATTCCGCTGAACGGGCGATTCCAAATACTTTTTTACATTTTCTCGGTACTGCAGAATAAGGGATTGTCACGTCTTGGCACAGATGTTTATTGTGCTACTCTGGCCGGATAGATACTGAGTAATAATGATAATAATGGAAATACTCGTAGTACCACATAAAATGCGTCCTCTACAGGTCAACACAGTCATGCGGGTTGCTACGCGCTAATATGGCGCGTAGCCACTACACTACATCTTCACCCTTAAAATGAAGTGAAAAAGCAGAACATTATGGCAAAATGTCGAAATAATCTTCCTCGACATTGTAGACGGTATTGACCTTTTCCTTCTTCTTGTTGTCCTTCTGCTGGCATGCCCTCTCTATATGGCCTTTCATGCCGCAACCATTGCATCTGGTGTTTTTATACCAGCATTCTTCTGGCGTATGCCGCCAGGATCCACATCTTTTACATTTCCGCCGGGACGGCATCTCTTCTTCACTTCCACTTTCGTCATCATTCTCTTCCTGTCTCTTTTCTCTACTGCTCTTCTCCTCTTTCTTCACTCTTATTTCTCGCTTCTTAATGTTGTTCACCACATTCTCTTCCACATTAGTTTTTCTCGCCTCTTTCACGCTTGTTTCATATTTGATAGCAATTTGGAGGGCGGCGTCGAACGTCTTCAGCTCTTGCAGCATTAGGTAGCGTCTTGTTGCGTCGCTTTTGACGCCTGCCACGAGCACAGCACTTAAATTCTTCTCCAGCACTGTTGCCGGAAAGTCGCATAGGATCGTTTTGTCACGTAAACGTGTCGCGAAGTCCACCAGGCTTTCTTTTTCGTCCTGCCGAAGACTGAAGAACAGCGCCCACTCGGTTATTTGGTTTGTGTACGGGGCGTAGGCCGTTTCCAGCTTCGTGACCAGTTCACCCAGTGTGAAGTCGGACGGCATCTTGGGTTTGCACATCGAAACTAAAAGCTGCAGGGCCTTCGTGTCCAGACTGTTTATTAGCACGGCACGGTGCTTGTCCGTATGAAGGTCGGTCAGCACAGTATAATTATCATACAAAACTTCCACGCCTTCCAGTCCATGGTTTCCGGATTGAACTTGGTCAATTGATCGGTTGTGGTCGTCATTTTCGATCTCTTATTATATAGCGCTCGCTTTCCTCTTCTCCTTTCCCGCTTCAGAGTTCAGAGAATACTACACTTCACGCCAATTGTCACGTCTTGGCACAGATGTTTATTGTGCCACTCTGGCCGGATAGATACTGAGTAATAATGATAATAATGGAAATACTCGTAGTACCACATAAAATGCGTCCTCTACAGGTCAACACAGTCATGCGGGTTGCTACGCGCTAATATGGCGCGTAGCCACTACACTACAGGGATCATATTAAACGCTACGGCAAATATGCCGATAACGAACCTAAGGAAACCTAAGAATATTTACGAAAACCTGAAAAAAATCTAAGAAAACCTTCAGAAAACCTAAGCAATATATGCTAACCGTCATGCTTCTCCTTCTTCCATATGCGCTTCTCGCACTGACAATCATACCGAGCGTAGTTGTCCTTAGCAGAACATCCTGGATATGTTTGCGCGTGCTTTTTGCGCTCTTGTTCAGCCAATGCATAATACCTGCACTTCTCAGCACGATCCAAAGAGTGCCACTACACAATGGAACCATCACCCAACACGGTGTTTTTGGAAACCACGACGGAGTTCGGACACCCACCTTCTCGGCCAAAAGATTAATGGCCGTATGTTCCATGCCAGGTTCTGCTCGCACTCGGGCTCGCTGCGCCTTCGAATACAGGATGAAGGCGTTCAACGGCTGTTTGATGTGATTGGTTCTCTCTTCCTTGGCTGCACGTTTTGGCGATGCACTGACCATTCCATTCGTTGAAGACCTGTGATTCAATCACAATCGCTCTCAAAATAAATTATTATTAACCAATAAAATTCAAATGGGTAAATGGGTAAATGAAGCTATTTCCAAATTATGGCTAAATAAATGCAGAATTAAGACGCAGCAGGCAGGAACGGTTAAAGGTCACGATGGCCACATTTCATTCCCGCCTACACTGACGCCGGCAAGCGCACATTTTCGGCCGCAGTCCGCTGGTATCAACTTTAATGCCCACTTTTGTATTGGTGCAATGTTTATAAACCATAATTACTTTCTGTGTTGATGAAACGATATTTACAGTCTAAGCGTCGATGAGGGAGATGCGCCAGAGGCCGTTGAATCAGCAGAGGGCGCACGGACCGGCGTCGATGAGGACGCACCGGACACGGACGCAGCCGGCGTTGAATCAGGCAAACTGCTCACTTGCTCGTTGAGCGGAAGAGCTGCGTTTTGTGTTAATCCTATACACTTTTTCCTCCATCTAAAATGCATGATACATGCAAGGTAGTGTCTGTTCACACTACATTCCAACGTTCATTCATGACAGCGCTCGAGGGAATCTGAGTATGAGACAAACAGTTTATTACTCTTACTAAACACTACTATTACTTTCCGACATCCTTTACACCAGTCCGCTTGACGGACATTTCCCAATATTGCTGGACATTTTTTCGGTTCTGCGAAAAAAAACAGGAAATCACATAAAAGCTGCGCACGATATTAAAGACACGTAAGAAAAACCTAAGAAACCATAAGAAAACTTGAGAAACCCTATGGAAACCTTCGGAAACTCGGGGAAGCTAACCTTCCCACCTCTCCTTCTTGGTTCTGCGCTTCTTCTTCCCACACTGACAACAGAACAGAGCGTTCTTTGCTACACTCCTGCTCGATTTCGGCGAAGACGGGGCCCCAGCACGAAGGTGCGCCGGCGATGCACTGACCGTTCCATTCGTCGAAGACCTGCGACAAATCATAGCCGTTCTCAAATTATTCCGGCAAGAATGGTTAAGAATCACTTCGGTCACATTGCATTTCCGCCTACACTCACGTCGGCTACACTCACGTTTCGACCGTAATCCTCTGGTAACTATTACTTATAAGTGATTTAATTGTAAACTTTGCTGTTTATCAATCACAGTTACGTACTACTGTATGTTGATGGATCAATATTGACAGTCTATCCTGGTAAAAGTTAAAGCGATATATCTGTATCATGTATGTTTGGTTATAAGTAAATATTCATTCTCCTGGCCGGCTGAAGCGGGCGGCACTGTCGACCGGTGGACAGAGAACTTCGAAACCGTTCTCTTGAGTAGTTGTCAGGACGACAGCATCGAAGTGGCTATTCGTATAGCGGTGTTGCACGCCGGGTCGTCCGTTCCATGGCGACGAACCGTACGTAATAGCGGTTTGTGTTACCGATTACCGTACCGCGTTATTTGTATTACGTTGTACCGTGCGGTCGTGGCGGCCTTTCTGCGGTACAGGCGATTTCGTACATGTTCAACGTTTTGAGACATGCGTTTTTTGGAAATCTATCCAATGAAAATAAAACAGCACAGTAAAATTATGAGGAATACTAAAGGATATCGTGATTTGTGAGATAAGGTAAATACAACTCCGAAAGCGTGCCCGGATAACAAGGAAATGTACGAACGGTCATTGAACGCCGTTTTTGCGTTTACAGCGTCTTGGCTGGCAGTGGAGCAGCTGGATTCCGCGAAACTAGCAGACGCCCTTGAAAGCCATATATATGTATTCGGCGGACTCGTCACGCCGGCATTCTCGCTTGTCCGATGCGATCCACATCCGCTCAACTCCACCGCTCCCGTGGCGCGGTCGACCTCAGACTGCTGAAATGCAACGTCCGCGTGCGGATTCCGGGGCGCTTCTCTTCCATGAGTCAGTAATAAGTTGGGAAAAAATTTTTATACATGCACGAAAACTTTAACATTTGGGCGCGCAACATCCGGTTCGGGAGTTATGGCTGTAAGAAAATTCCAAAAAGTTTAAATGCATTCAGGTGTACTAAGTCGTCCTTATGGACCGATCTCCTTTAGACTCACATAATACACGTAAGTGTGAAGATCGCTTTTACATAATGGCAATCGTTCACAGCGCAACGTTCGCATTTCGCACTAAACACGGGCTTTCAGTACCTTTGGGATAGAAATCACGGGACAAGCTTGTACACACCTGCATTTACATTCCGTGCACTTACTTTTAATCCCATCGAATTTACAAAGGGCCCAGTTTTTCCTTCGAAGGAATCTTGTCCGGGTTCCGATTTCATCCCCCAGGAATAATATTTAATATTATCATTCCTGGAGAAGTGTAACAGTAGACGCAACTTTTACGGGTTCATCCCTCTTCACCACGTGGCCCAGGCGGGCCGACACCAAATGACCCAGGAAAGAATTGAGTGTGCCTGATTAAGCACCAAGCAAGCAAGCAAGCCCTCGATACGTGTCGTCCCGTCGTAACAGGCTTATCACTTGGTATTACAACACTGCAATTAGTCCCCTCGGCATCAGTTCGGCGGGGCTAACTTCATACTCACTAATTACAATTTACAGACATGTCTGTGTACGACCGACGACGCACCCTCAGCAGGACGCAGACAAGCCAGTAATGGGTGAGCGTTGCGAAGGCATGGTACCCGTGCGAAATAGAAAACAGCTGGTGAGGACGGAATGCCGAATTCCGACGGAAATACACGATAAAGCATTAGAAGATGCCCGCAAAATGTCGAGCAGGCGGCAATCCATGATCCCGCAGGTGTGTGGCGGTGTGCGCAGTGTGCATGCCGGCAAAATCAATCCTGGATTGCCGTTTACGGGCAGGCGTGTTTGAGACGGGAATTAACCAATAAAAATTCAGCGGAAACAGCGTTTAAAAATTCCCTGGGTCTGCGCCAGCCGAAGCTATCCAATGTACACTGATATGTCTGAGGAGACCATAGAAGCGCAAACGGAAATCTTCAGTCAGCCTCAATACAACAAAATAATATAGGAAAGCATAAACGAGCGGTCGTCCAACATTAACGCAGCATTCCATCGCCCGCGGTGACGGCAGGTAGCAGAGATTAACTGACCGTTTCCGGTGGCGCTGGAGACGACCTTTGTTCCGGGCCACACCCTCGCTGGGTGTGGCGTCATTCTCCTGCCGTCCGATTACAGCTCAGCAGATCGCCCACTCCACCAAGTACTCTCGTTTCTCCTGCGATTAGACCCGTTTGGCACGCTGCATCGTTCCAATTGAATGCTGGTGTTAAGCACCTGGGTTCGGGTTATCCAGTTCTCACTCAATAAAGTCTACGGCATCATTCATTCGCGTGTGTTTATTCCCTCATTATTCCCTTATTCTTTTTCAGCAGCTTTGGGCAACGCTGTCAACAAAGTGACCTCTCTTCTGCGAACAATCGTATTTGTCGTGTGACTTAATTATCTTAATTGTAGAAACACTTGCTTCTATAACCGCGAATCTCGAGCTCATCTTGTCGAAGAAATTGAAGCTTATGTTGCCAAGTCTCCACGCATTTTTTAACCGGTTTTAACCAGTTAAAAGTTATAGGTTATAGGCTATAACTGACGCAGATAAAAGTTTTAAGGGATTTGGCCCGGTACTTAGCACCAAATTCGTGTACATCCACGGGAACTTTCGCTGTCGCGCACTTCCAAACACGTTTTTGCATTGCTTTTTGGTATTTGGCCAAAAAATGTTTTTACATAGGCCTGAAATCGGTTTTTGCGCGCAACATCCGGTTCGGGAGTATGGCTGTTAGAAAATTCCAAAAAGTTTAAATGCATTCAGTTGTACCAAAAGTCTCATTATGGACCGATCCCTTTCAAATTTTGCAGGTAAATGCGCATAACCATGATGATCGTTTTTAAACCGATCCATGCTTTTCAAATTTTAAAATGAATTTCAAAAATTTTAAAATTCATTTTATAATTCGAAAAAAAATCGTGGAAGTCTGGATCCGTGTAAGAACGATCTTCATGGTTATGTGCATTTACGTGCAAAATTTGAAAGGGATCGGTCCATAATGAGACTTTTGGTACACCTGAATGCATTTAAACTTTTTGGAATTTTCTAACAGCCAGAACTCCCGAACCGGATGTTGCGCGCAAAAACGGAATGCACGCCTATGTATACAAATTATTTGGCTACACAATGTCAAAAAGCAACCCAAAAAAGTGTTTGGAAGTGCGCGAAAGCGAATTCTTCCGTGTATGTACACGAATTTGGTGCTATGTACCGGGCCAAATCCCTTAAAACTTTTATCTGCGTCAGTTATAGCCTATAACCTATAACTTTTAACTGGTTAAAACCGGTTAAAATTTTTCAGGAAATTTCGGTCAGTCACCGAAGTTCCGCTGATTGACTTCTAACTGACAGTGAGTCAGTTGTAATACGTGGGTTTTACTAAGATAGAGATGAGAAACATGATGTGATCATCGGAGTCTTGTGATCACACGTTCATGATCAAAGCATAGAGGTCTGTGACCGACGCCTATGCGAACACCCTCTAGGTATTCACGTCTACTTCCATCTATCTCTACCTTTATAGATACAATATATAAGCTCTACACTGTTATACCATCGAAATCATACCATCTGATAGGATCAGACCACCAGTATCACTTGTAGGCATGCTAGCATTGTACCATCCGCGTAAAATCATCATGTACCACCAATAAAAATGCAGCACGATCTGCCTCTTCTCTGTTTCAGTAAAACCCACGTATTACAACTGAATCAGTTAACAGTTCTAATGAGCGGAACTTTGGCGACTAACCGAAATGGTTAAAAAAGTTTTAACCGGTTAGCCGAAGTTAATCCAGACTAACGAGGAGCTTCGCCGACCGTGATAGAACCAGATCAGCCTGGTTTTGGTATCGCTTATAAACTCTGCGACGACGATGGAACGTTTCGACGCGCCATTTTCTGATTGTAGCACAAAATGGGCATTAGACCGGTGAATTCCGACATTTCGACGACTCCTGGCTTGGCAGAGTCCCTCAGCTACCGAAATACAGTACAGTGGCTGTGCAGGTGAAAGACTATGTCTGCTGGCTGGGATACCTTCGGGATATTGATAGTCAACTAAGCAGGGCGCCATCCGAGGGAAACCGAGAAACAGCCGAAAAATGCACCGATGGACGAATCGAACCCCGGCCACGTCGTTAGATCCGCGTAGACAGTACCACTGCACCACGGCGCAAAGTGTTGAAAATCCTTGAAAGACTGTGTCGCTGTACCTGAGCCGCTTCCATCCTCACAGTCACGTCACGCCGGTCACGGATCGTCACCACATACCACGGACTGTCATCAGACTCAACCAATACACGGGAATCAACGGTGCGTCGGTGACAATGTGTTGGTTGGATTTGATGCGTCCACGGCGCCGCGTGTCTAGTTGCTACCGTTTGTGGCTCGACTGCCTCGCGAGGCGTACCGCAACATGCCAGTATTTGCATCTTGATTGCCAAACCATAATCGAGGCGGACCGGACAGATGCACGTTCATTGTCGTTGGCAGCCAAAACAACCTTGAACTGGCCGGCGGAAGCACTGCTAATGATACTGGTGTAACGACCGCATTAATCACCACACCTTTAGTCACCGGAAGTCAGAAGTTGACCAGCAGTCGACACCAGTCGACTACTAGTCTGTATTTGGCTTATGTACCTAGCATTAGCACTGTTATAGTGGACATACTGTTCATTAAATACAGGTCACAGAGGTGTTTACTAAATACAGGTGTTTGTTATTTATTTATTACAGGTGTTTATTAAATACAGGCATAAGATCTTGAATGACATTAATAATTTTGGGTGCTTTTTCAATGTTAAAAATTTTAATCATCTATCTTAATTAGCAAAAGCTTACCGAAAATAAACTTAAGCGTCATAAATAAATTATAACTTCTTTTTTGATCGTGAGAACAGATATAGCACAAACGCCATGTTTTGCAGTCGGACATGTACACGAGACAATTTCCCAGGGCGCCGAATTTATAGCGGACTAAAAAGAGCACGAGAGTGATTTTTTTATAACCAACCATAAAAGTTGGCACTGTTTCATTTCCCTACAGCCATAAAGAAAGAAGACAAAATATACAATTATACAAAAATCGCCAGTCATCCGCTTAAAGATTAAAAGCACACAAAAATTTACAGTATCTTGGAAACTGTTACAATGGGAGTGGGAGTTTGTAGGAAAACGGTCACAAAATTCATGCTTTGGAAAAGCGGAATGCCTCCCCGCATAAACAGCTGCAGAGAAACACTCAAAATGTACAGTACCTTAACGCCGTCCCAGAACTGCACAATAAAAACATAAGAAAGCATAAGAAAACATAAAAAAATCCATAAAACGGGTCACAGATCCGGGACGTCAAAACAGGTGTCCGTAATGTCAATGGCACTGTTTTGGTCCATGAAATCAGAAACTGACAACGGCAGGTACGTGTTCAGCCAGTTTAACTCCGGAGATGTGTTGGTGAAGTCCAGTTGATGAAATCCGGCCGTTGAATCAGCGGACGATGCGAGAACCGGCATCGATGAGGACACCTCGGACACGGATGCAGCCGGCGTTGAATCAGGCAGATGGCTCACTTCCTCGTTGAGCGGAAGAGCGGCGTTTTGCGAGAATCGTGTACACTTCTGCTTGCATCTAAAATACAAGATACAAAACCAATTATGTGCAATCTACATTCCAACTTTCAGAGAACAACGCGCTGTAAAGGCACAACGAAATTTCGCCAAGGACAACCAGCCGCAAGACATTCCAGTCATCGACATTCCGCCGCAAAAGCCATGACTGTTGTAAAGGTCAAGCTGATTAAACAAACCAAGAAACCTGTCGAATTCTTTTGCGGCAGATTGTCGCAGAATTTCGGAGTCCCATGGCGATTGCTTCGCGACCATACGGCCTGCGGCAAAGTTAAAAGGTTGTCACAACAATGTGTGACGAGTTCTTTTACCTGTGTGTGACCTAGTGTGTGTTGTGTGTATATGAGCCCTATGGGAAAGGTCAACGATGACCAGTACCTATATAGATTACAAATGAACCAAACAACAACTTCCAAAATGACCTTTAATGACCATTAACCATTGCCCACTGCAATATGTATACTATTTGAAATGCTCACTATACAGAACAATACTCGACCGATACTTTACTTAATTGAATGCCTTTGATGGGCTCTTTATATATGGATCGGGACCGGTTGGGGTGTGATCGTTAGTCGTTACTATGATGTCACTATGATGTCATGATATAAAAATGAGTAATTATGACGCAGTTATGACTGCATTGTCCTTGGCGTTCGACCTTGGCGGACACGTGGTGGCCGCATGTATATGAGTCATCGTGACAAGGTCACGAAGAAACTATGTCCCAAACCGAAATGTCCCGCGTCCGTATGATGCGCGGTCAATTCGAGAGCGGACACACCCAGTTGTCGGGGTGCGATCGCAGATCTAGAGAACGCAAGAATCTTACCGGCATGCTCTACACCATTCCGCTTGACGGGTGATTCCCAGTACCTTCCTACATTTTCCCGGTTCTGCAAAACAAGAAAGGATATTAACAGCTACGGCGAATATACAGATAGCGAGCCTAAAAAAATTAAGAAAACCAAGAAAACCTGAGAAACCTAAGAAAACCTAAGAAAACCTAAGAAAACCTAAGAAAACCTAAGAAAACCTAAGAAAACCTAAGCGATGCTAACCATCCTGCCTCTCCTTCTTCCGTATGCGCCTCTTCCCGCAGTGGCCACGAGACAGAGCGTAGTTGACCTTAGCTGTCCGTCCGGGATAGGTCAGCGCCGTGTGCATTTCGCGCTCTTGTGGGGCCATTGCATGACACTCGCTCGGCTCAGCGCCATTCAAAGCGCGCCACTAAAAAAGAAACCATGACAAAACACTGCTATTTAAAACCCCCACGGAGTTCCGACGCCAACCTTCTCGTCCAAAATGCGATCAATGGCCGCAAATTCTGTCAGCCGGTCTTCGACGCGCACTTGGGCGCACTGCTCCTTCATGTGCAGCGGGAAGGGGTTCAACGGATTTTTGATGCGGTTTCCTTTCTCGTTGGTTGCTTCTCCACTGCTCGATGTCGGCGAAGACGGGGAACCAGCACGGTACTGTGCCGACGATGCACTGACCATTCCATTCGTCGACATCCTGTGACCAATCACCATCGCTCTCGTAATTGTTAACCAATAAAATTCAAACGGGTATATGGAATAAATTCTTATAAGGACTAAATAATTGTATGATTTTATATATACAAGCGTGAAAACCGATTGTGCGTGCAACATCCGGTTCAAGAGTTATGGCTGTACGAAAAAATCTAAACAGTTTAAATGCATTCCGGTGTACCAAAAGTCTTATTTTGAAAAATTTTGCACATAAAAATATATAAGTAAGAAGATGGTTTTACACCGAACCAAAGTTGCACCATTTTGTTCAAATTTTAAAATAAATTTCAAAAATTTTGAAATTTATTTTAAAATTTGAAATAATGCTGCAACCGTGGTTCGGTGAAAAAACGACCTTCATGCATACTTCTATGTGCGTTTCCGTGGAAAAATTGGAGAAGATTAGTTTGATAACCTAACCTTTGGTACACTAGAATGCATTTAAACTTTTTGGAATTTTCTTACAGCTGATCTTCCGAACCGGATGTTGCACGCACAAACGGTTTTCACGCCTATGTATGCAAATCATCTGTGTCATATAGCAAAGCCAAGAAGTGTTTGGGAGTGTGCGAAAGTGAAAGTTTTGGTGCATATACACAAATTTGGTACCAAGTACCGGGCAACTTCCCTCGAACAACTAGCCAGCAAAGGCTAAAGGTCACATTGGCCACATTTCGTTTCCGCCTACACTTACTGCGGCTAGCGCACCTTTCGGCCACAGTCGTCTCTTAACTATTATTACCGATTTTAATTCACACGATCAAAATACATATAAGCCACAATTATGTCAGTACTATGTGAATGAAACAATATTTACCGTTTAGGCGTCGGTGAAGGAGATGCGCAAGAGACCGTAGAATCAGTATAGGGTGGGGGAACCCACAACGATGAGGTCACACCGGACACGGGCGCAGCCGGCGTGGAATCAGGCAGACAACTCTCTGCTCCGTTGAACGGTAACGCTGCGCTTTGTGAGAATCGTATGCATTTTTTCTTGCGGCTAAAATTCAAGATACAACCAAATAATCGAGCGAAGCGTATGGAAACTACACTAGCAACACATAAAGAACCGGCAAAACCATGCATCCGCCTCCGCCATAAACGCTTACCGACATCCTTTACACCATTCCGCTCGGCGCTCGATTCCCAGTACTGCTCGACATTTTTCCGGTTCTGCCAAATAAAAAAGAATATTAAAATCTGCCGAAAATATGAAGAGAAGATATTATTATTTAAATAGACTTAAGAAACCCAAAGGAAACTTAAGAAAGCTGATAAAACGTCAACGAATCTACCTGCCGCCTTCTCCTTCCTTAAACGCTTCGGATTCCGGTGCCGGCGCAGCGCCCAGTGGTCTTTCGCTGTCCATCCGGGATAGGTGTGTGCATGCTTGTCGCGCTCCTGTTTAGCCATTGCGTAATACTTGCTTTTCTCAGCGCCATCCAGAGAGGGCCACTAAACGTTAAGAGCAATTGCAAAACAAGAATCTCTACAGCCGCGACGGAGTTGTGATGCCCACCTTCTCACCCAGAATCCGGTTAATGGTCGTAATTTCGGTCAGCATGGATTCTGCGCGCACTTGGGCGCGCTGCTCCTGCGCATACAGCATGAAGGCGTTCAACGGCTTTTTGATGCGATTTCCTGTCTCGTTCTTGGCTTTTTCCCTGTTCGACATCGGCAATAAAAATAAATTCGCGTGAGTAAATGGAATAAGTAAATAAACAACGAGCCAGCGGGGGCTAAAGGTCACTTCGGCCGTTCTCATTTCAGCCACGCTACTTTCAGTCCACGATTTTCTAGAGCAACAAAGTGACACTTACTCGGTAGCTTCTACGCCCTTTTGCTTCTGGGTTTCGCCATATTTCGACAGTAGAATTTCCAGATTCGTTGCAATGGATTTCAGATATTCCATACTAGTCCATATTCCACACAACTACGAAGACAACGCGAGGAGACCTAAGAAGAAACAAGAAAACCTAAGAATACCTAAAAAAAAATCGAAATCCAACCCGGTAATTCCAAGCAACCAATGGTAAAATAAAAAATCAATTTTTGAAAACCGGTACACTAAGCGACTTTGTTGTTACCATCAATTTTTCGATTCCGGAATACAGCTAGTGACGGCAAACGGGCAAACATCCCGTTGCAAGGATCATTATCCCAGTAATCATTCCACAGATTGGGAATTTTTGCTGTACAGAAAAGTCAAACCATCTTTGCTGGCTAGTGCGACCAGCAGATTAATTTTCTGTTAATTAACAGAAAACTAGGCTCTTTAAATTAGACGTTATTGTATTGCAACCTGTTGCTGGCGCGAATTCTTCCCAGCTTCCAAGAACATCTTGCCGCGGGAAATCTGGGAAATCTGCCGCGGCAAAACTGCACGGTGACTTACGTCTCTCCTCACTCTGAGCCGGCCAGCTGAGACTTCCAGGTACCGAAGAACCGGCGACAATGATAACCTAACAGGACACAAATCAGCGGCCGTTTGAGGGGAATAAAACAGTAAAACAGTAAAAACACAGAGCACACTGATGTGGGACAGTTAAAACAAGGTGGGAACTAAACATTAACTAAGTGGGCTGCGACCATCAACTGATGGCTACAAGCCAGCTGAAGTGGTTTGCCGTTGCTGTATCGACCGATGGGCAGAGAATTTCGAAGGAGTGTTGTTCTCTGACGTGTTGTCAGGACAACAAAATCGACGTGGCTATTGCGCATGCGCTTCGTACATCGGCGCGCTATATGCTGTAGTCGTACATCCCATAGCAACGAACCGCATTACGTTTGCATAAGAAAACCTAAGAAACCTAAGAAATTCCACAGTATCATTCTGTAGTAGTTACACATGCGGGAAACACAGCAGATACCGTAAAAGGATACGTAAGTATATTGATGTTTCCAGCTTCCGTGAACACCGCTCACTACCCCAGCCGCAACAACCCATGCGGAAGATCTATACATATGCTCTTGTTAACGGATTTCGGTCTGGATTATCATTGTCTCTGTTGTAAAGTTATAGCCTATTTTTATGCATTTTCTCCTCTTTTATGAGTAAAAGCTATTATTTAGGGAGCTGCATTAGGACTTAGGAGTGCAAAATGGTGCATAATTGCCTCGTACACTAACTATAGTCTAATGCCTATAGTGCAGGCAAGTGTGAGTTATCGACCTTGATACAACACGTGATTTTGCAGACAGTCGTTTGCGAACTATGACACATATTGACAAACCGTACGAGGATGGGGTATTAAAATCAGTCAGGTCTGTTTCCCTGTTAGAGACCGAAAACAGTGTACTAGCGCATTTATATACCGAGAACTCGGTAGATTATTGTGCAACCACGAATATGTTTCCATGCATTTTACAGGAGACGTTTATATTAATTGGACGTAAACGTGCATTTGGTGCCCAACCATCCGAGAATCCGGAAAATCTTGGCAGTAGCGAGTGTAGCGTTTGTTTTTGCAGTATGCTGTGTCCGTGAGATTAGTGATACCTTGGTGATACTGTTATGGGGAATCCGCTTGGAAATGGAGCAGTTATTGTGATTATGTCACTGCACTGCCACCGATCAGCCCAGAAAGCCTTCAAAGCCATGCAAATGTGTGATGCTTCTTCTATACCCGATTATGCCAGAAACAGTCTAGAAATTCCCCCGGGGAACGTTGTTTTGAAGGACGTTAACGGAGCGTGTATTCCGGAAACTTGAGACGTAGTATCGTAATCACGGTGCCATGAGCCAATGTCCGAGGTAAGAAAGAACCTGTGTGGAAAAGAAATCGCGAGCAACCTTATGGGATATGCGAAGAAGAAAATTCGCGCGATTTGCAAACAGTTGCCCATCTCGTATGGAATCGCCGAAAGTCCATGGAGATGGGCAACCTGGTTTGCAAGGTTGTATGCTTGGAAGCTGCCAGTCCAGTGCACCAGTGCCACCGGGATCGGGGACGAAAGCCAGTGGATGAGAAGGCGTGCGTCGTTCGGGAGGGTTCTAACTTTGCGCTTTATAAAAGCGTATCTCAGTGAGCTTACTTTGCTATGCGTTCATAAGGAGCAGAGTTGGAAGCCTTCCAACATCAGTTCGTATCTTCCTTCGAGCGTCATTTTTCTGGATGCAAACGGAATCCCTACCTGTTACGGGGTTAATCCGCTCAATCTTGGAGCTGGCCAAATGTACTACACGTACAGACTGTACTACATTCAGTCAGCTTGGAGATTTAGTGGACGTAACCGGTGGACCAGTCACCAGGGGAAATACATAATATGGAGATCACCTTCAATTCGTCGGCCTAAAATGCCCCGAAGCAGTTACCTAGTCGGTATACAGCGGAATATTACGCACTGTCTGTCTCCTGCAGTGAATTCCAGCCAAGTTGACATAAGGCAAAAACTCGGCCCACGCTCAAGCTCCGACTCTGACCACTCAAAGTCTGACCCTGACTGTCCAAATCTAAGAAAAATCTAGGAAACCTAAGAAACCTAAGAAACCTAAGAAAAACCTAAGAAACCAAATAAACCTAAGAAACCTAAGAAAACCAAAGAAACCTTCAAAATCAGAGTCAGACTTTTAGTAGTCAGAATGAGAGTCAGAGTTTGAGTCTAGACCCAAAAACTCGAGTGGAGATGCTATACAGAATCAGTAACTCCAGTATTCGACTTAATTTCATGATTCCTCATTTAACACCAATTTATGTACCTGCAAATATACTTGACGTAATGCTTTCCAGCGAATAGATTCTTATGGTTTTGTAATTCTTGGGAACGATTTTATTGGGATTCTTCCTCGCCGGTTGGTCCTTATAAATGGTAGCGTAATTGTTACGCCAGTATGTTCTCTTATAAGAGCAGCTGCACCGAGATTGTCCCTTGCGAAGGCTCCGCTGGCCGGTGACCTCCGTCGACGGGAAGAGGATGCAGCGCAGCGAGTGGCGCGTCGTACAACGCGGAACTTTGTTCACGCCGTTGTCAAGGGGATTCCGACGAATACACACTGCAGCTAAAGTGCCTCCGTGAGGCATTCAAGGTGCACTGTGCATTCGCCGTCTCACAAACAGTAGTCAGGTGTGGAATGTGTAACACGAGGGATATAGCCACCGCTGTCATTCCGCAACGCACGAAGATTTCTGCTGTACAAATTGGCTCGCAACAGCGCGGAAAATCATGAAAAGCGTCAACTCCTAATCAACATGCTGCGTCTGCGCTTCTGTGAGACTGAATCTTGCTGAATTTAGACAGGAACACCAACGCCGAGAGCTGACCACCCGACAGGGCATCAGCAGCTGGACGACAGTAGCAAGGGATAACCATAGAACAGCCATTAGGTATCATAACTCCAACGTACCACTCGCGGGAATACCGAGTCCGCTAGTACCCACAAACCAGCACAATCTATCCATTCATCTGCAACGCAATAATTACACATAAAAATACTGTACCTATATAATGCAGCGCTTATACAATCGTCCGAGTGAATACATCAGTGTCTAATATCAATGTTCTATTAGCATTAGCCTATTACGGTAGGTAACCTTAGTTTCTTGTAATTTTTCAGTGAACACGAACCCGCGAGGTACTCCGTCCCGGCAGCGCGGTCCGCCCGAAAATGAGCGGCCGGTTCACTGGTCACACGGTTGCCGCTGCCTCCCGCACCCTGACGTTGCAACGACCATGAAATGGCCAGCCGAAACGCAAACATGTCCGCTGTCCGGTTTGAGGGGCCGCAGTATCCTTCAGGACCAGCGTGCATCGATCTGGCGGGAATCGGATGTGGATTGCCGGAAGCGATCCCTGTTTTCCGTGCAAGACGGCCTCCTTATTTGTGTTCGTCGAGTATCTTTCAATTATCCTGATACGTTTCTTGGATTTTTTAGTGGAATACATTCGGGATACATAAAGGATACTGCGCAGATACGGCAGTGACTTGGCAAAAGTGAAAAATCTGTAGGATACATAAAGGATACATACAGTATCTATATATGGTCGGATGCGACGGGCCTAAAAAAACTTAAGTATACTAACCGTACCATAGGTAAAACGGGAACCCCATTCCATCAGGATGATGTCATGGCTCTTTCGTGAGAGCAAGGGAGGAAACGATTGATAAGAGCATCGAGTCTCATTGCGCACCAGCTATCGGGTCGTTAGGAGACCAAGTAAAGTATCTTCTCCGTCTTATTCATGGGCGGTCTACAAAGGTCACAATTTTTTTATCATAGTAAACATGTAGTAATTCCACCGCCTCAGCCGACAGCCGAAATAAGCGGCCTAATTATACACATCATCACATCTAAATTAGCCGATGCGGGTGCTGTTCCCAGGACGGAGGCCGCATTTCCGCGTTGGATTTCAATGCTGATCCGCTAGATCTTTATTGGTCAAATCGAACACAAGGCGCAAGATATCGGAACATAACAAAGTAATAAAGAAACGAGTTATAAAAGGTCAATCTCATTCAATTTATCCGCTCCACCCGCGCAAAAGATACTCCGTCGCCCGTATCTTGGCTGTTTCCTGTCGTATCATCTTCCCGACTTTGGTGACCATGCGGGAGGCGTCTGGTCTCGAAGGTCCGAGTGTTTCGACGCCTGCTGCGCGGAACATGCAGTGTGGTGAGATGCATGATACTTCGCGGTTAAAAGTGGCATCAGGGCTGCTATGTCTGGACTTCCGGCCTTGATGCGGTGCCAATGCGCTGCATGTAACATACATACGAAGACGGCTGAATGTACACCGGCTCTCCAGGTCATAGATTCCCTTTATCCTGAATATTCCTGATGCAATTCAGTTATTATTTTAACCTACTGTATCATCGCCTGTACGTGATTTTTTAGTTTTGCTGCGCGCTTGAAAAATGTTTGTTCAGGTAACCGGGTACTTGTGTCTGAAAGGTTATTTTGTTGCAAACCAGTTTTTCTTCTGAATTACCGCTCCCCGTAAGTTTGTTTGGTCACATGTATATCTTTTTTCAGGAATTTTCTTGACTTGACATGTGTTAAGAATCGCAGCAGAAAGAGAGTTCTTAGCATGATCGCATTCCGCGTACAGATACTTCCGGTCAACAGCGTCGTTAATTCCGTCTTGTCAGCAGCAACTACTCGTATATATATACATTATACGTATTCATTGTACGATCGCTAACTCGCGCATTCTTGTTTAACATAATATCAGCAGTTTAGCAGGCCACGATAACAAGTTGTTAGGATGTAGAAAACATAACAACTGACGATTTACGAAGTTTCCAGTACAAATGAAGCGAATCCATATATCTACGGGACACTGGCAAATGTATGATTATCTGGCGATTAGACATGCATATGCGGGGTTGATTCTTCAAGCATTAGTTCTTGGCCAACACCCTCAGCGTCGTCGTGTGGACTATCCACTCGTGAAGGCCCTGGTGTGGCCGGAACATGCACTGTATGTGTCCGGCATCGGTCACTGCGATGGCTTCAAAGCGTGACCTACCGGGGATCAAGCGTCCGGGTCGGTTGATGAACGGCGTGTCGGTTGAGTTAGCCATGGACGAGGCGGTATCCTCGAGGTCTGGCATCAGGCCGCTGGTTGGCATGATGGCCCCGTACGGCGCCTCCGAGGGGCCTAAGACGACGCGGCCGTTGTGGCGCCAGATGACGTGGTTGCGCGCGTTCAGTAGGAGGCCTTCCGGGAGGGGCAGACGGACATCACACGGCACGTCGAGCGGATCGCCTTCGATGGCCGTCAGGTGGGTGGGGTCGGTCGGGGCGAAGATGTCGCTGCGGCGCGTGATCAACGGCAGCAGCATATAGCGCTGCAGGACGCGGGGGCGGGGCGCGTAGGCGGCCGGGGCCGACGGGAGGGCGACGCACTGCACGGAGCCGCTGGAGGCCAGGCTGACGTTGAGGACTTGAAAGAGGAGGGTGTTGTTGAGCTGGAGAAAGCGATACAACCGTCCCGTCAAGTCGTCCGCCGGCACTGCCAACGGTCGTCCCGCTTCGAAGACGGTGCGGTCCTGATGCAGCCAGGCCATATTCCGCACATCGCTCCCGGCCGGCACTTCGCACGGGAAGCTCACGTTCTCCCCGAGCCGCGGCCGGTACACCAGGCTGTCCGTCACGGTATCGCTCGGGGCCAGCTGCGTCAGGGTGATGCGGTCATCCTGGCGGTTCTTCAGCCACGCCTCCGCCAGCATGTCGTTCACTACCACAGAGCCAGTTATTGGCATGATAAGTGCACATTGCATTAGGTAAGTATCTTAATTGCATCAGGTAAGTATCCAACATATGGCTAGTTTACAAGACAATCACTTGAAAAGTGTATCAAGCCGGGCCTGTGGAACGGTTAGATACTTACGGCTGAAAATGAAAGCGGACGAAAAGTACCACGTACAAGTTAAACAGCACGCCGGCTCTACAGATAAATTACTAGCGGTGCTTGCGAACCACAGTACACACGAGCGGGAGCGCCAGTACCACTGGGAAATGGTATTGGGATTGTGGAATTGGAAGAGCGTGACGTACGCTCTTCGTGGCGTCAGACAAATTTCATGCTCTTGACGAAGACTTACTGAAATTACCGGAACAGGCTCAGGCTCGCAACACTTATAGTACTAAAACGACATACTTAGTACTAGAAAACATTTATAACAGAAACACTTCCCCAATGCTATCCTGATCGGGAATTGTACCCATTACCCATTACACAAATCGCATTAGCTATACTTGTAGTACTTTATTATACGCCACTCACGGTCAGGGCCCGCCTTGCGCTGCTCCGCGTCGAACGACAGCGACCTCTGCGGTTGTGGTGGGCTCGACGGACATCCCGCCGACAAGGACAGCTGCTGCTGCAGTATTACACAGCTGCACAGGAATGCCTGCCAAAGACCAAAACGGGCCTGGGAATTCGCCATCCATGCAGCCATCGCCGTGCGCCTGCATCAGTTGCAACTAACCATTCAGACTGTCGTTAGCTACGGTATCCGTGAAATAGCATAATATGTCTTTTGAATCATCTGTGCTTTGAACTTTTCTTAAGCTTCTACAACGTTGTACAAGCTGGACACTGGCCAACTATCGGCCAAACAGCTTGCATAGACCTGTGCTTCGCCATACGCGCATACATGAGGTTCGCTGACAAAAATACAACTAACATTATCCAATGAACTGATTATGCGCAGCTTTAATTACTTGGACTTACCCACTTCGATTCGGATCAGATATTTATTTTAATAAAACGGGAGAAAGATGGACGCCGGAGAGGTGCAGTGTGAAGTGCAGTAGCTTCTTAATTGTCCCTATGCAATTTTCAGGTTGTGAGGAGATTATTTCAGCGGATAGTCACATCCCGGCGCTAAAATAGAAGTCAGTGATTTATCGCTAATTTAGGTTGATGCCGTATATGCAAACGTTTTAAAGAGAAACGCCGGCCTTCTTTCAAAGCTGCCGATTTATCCGCAGAGCCTTCGCTATGGCAAGTGATTGGTTGACCTTTTTAGCCGGACGCCATCTTGCTTTTGAGCGCACTTTGCTTGCTGACTGATCAAGAAAAACCCAAAAGAATTTTCTATGAAACTCTACAAAAAACAGCTCGTTTGCATAAAACCGTATAAATTACTAATTTTTGTTGAATTTCTAACCATTTGTGCAGTAAAACTGAGTGTTATTTTCGCGCCGCGCGAAAATAACTTAATATTGTACATTCAAACAAGAATAATATATTACCGCACGAAATAGGCATACAGAGTTCATCATGTTCTATAGTACTTAGTACACAATCTCCTGGTAATCCTTTACCTGGACAGATGAACCCAATTATTTTGACAGTTGCTTTTTCCATTTTGATGATAATCCTTCAACTTTGTATTTAAAGTTTAAAGTGCAAATCAGTACAACAAAGTTGAGTCAACTGCAAAAATAGATTTCAATCAGGATAACAGTTTAAAAAACAGAGCATAGTTGTTTAGACGAACTGTTTAGGCGAACTGTGCGAATGCTGCAGGTACTGGAAATGGCATTTCCCAGTATTTGCAGCATTCGCACAGTTCGCCAGTGGAGAGGTACTGGCAGTCTAAGTAAGCCTAATCACAGGCCTACCAGGTCGGATTTTGCCATATTCGCCACCTTCTAACAGTTCGCCAAGGGTGCTTTAAAGGTTAATCTCAGGAGGCATGCCAAACGGAATGCCGAGTCTGATTTTCCCATGTTGGCAACGTTCGCCAAGGCCCCTTTTAAGGTCAATCTAAGTAAGCCTAACGAAAGGCATACCGGGCCGAATTTCCCATAATCGCAAAATTTGCGCTGTTCGCCGCGGATGCTACAAAGGTCAGTCTAAGTAAGCATAACAGACGGAATGCCGGGTTATACGTAATTGCCGGGTTCATGTAATGCTTTTAGATAAAATGAGCGTCGTAAGCTCGTAACTCGTAAAAGCTTATGGAAGGAAACAGTTAACCAGCCTGGGGCTCCAGGGCCCCTTTTACTGCAGTGTGTACGTCTCTTTACCTCATTTACTGCAAAAATGGTAATAAATGCAGCGTCTGGGTCACCAGTTTTCGCTGAGGCGATTCTGTCAGAAGGGCCGTCTGGATGTCTTCAATGGTATCGGGAGGCGGACTGCTCCACCTACAAACAGTTTAACAACCCCTTTACCGTTCACCCAGTTGTTGCGTTGTAAATGCGTAACGTACAACTGTACATGTTGTACAACGAGTCAATACTACGTGTCATGTCGCGAAATTATAATTATGTTGAATGTTTTTTATGCAATTTCCGCTTAGTAGTTGTTTTTCTTGTATTCACCTAGCAGCGTTATCGGTCATCAGTTGAGTTGTTGTCTTCCAGTGAAAGCAGCGTAAAAGCGTAATAAGATACTCTGTTAGATCACTTACGCCTACTCCGGTGATTTAGCACACCGGTCTACGCAGAAGTCTTTCGAAAATTAATAACAGTTACAGCGCTAACTAGACTGAAATATCCAAAACCTTTGGTGAGGAAAACATTTTTCTAAGAAGTTGTTACTGATTTAATATGGTTCAAGTTTACGCGACTGATAATGTTTTTGGCGGCCTTAATACGTAACCGTGGTTGCGGACGAAATGTAAAAGAGACGCAGAAAGAACGAACTAACTACTGTACTTACAGCATAAAAGAGACGCTTAGCAACGCCCACAGTAAATCCTCCGGCAGATGTTCGGGGGCTGGGAAAGCGTTTAAGCCATCCAGCAGACGATGCAGCTGTGTGGCCTCCAGTTCCGGACAGCACACTTCGAACATTCGGCGAAAGGAAGCCGAGTAATCCGCTGTCGTTGTGCCGGCAAAACTGAACGACCAACGAGCCACGTTGAGAAAGAAGGTGTCTGTGTATCGGGTGTACAGATCGTGGTCCACGCCCCCTGTCTCCCCGTTACGACGTACTATAGGGAGGTTAATGGAGTTCTTCGCGTCGAACACACACTGTCGCAGCAGGAGATGATCGCATATGGTTCGGAACTGCGGAGACTGGTAAGGGAACAACATATACACATCCGGCTCGATCACGGTTAAGACATTGGTCGGCTGGGGAAATCCAGTTCGTTAATGTACAGGTCTGTATTGCCAGTGTTGACGAGCCACTTGAGCTTCAGTGACAGAAATTTCAGTAAGTCGACCAAGGAGAACAGACAGTATTCCCACTCTCCCACGAGGCACAAAACGCGGCAGTGCTCCGTGACACTTCGCGCCAGGAAGTGGACACAGGCGAAACTTCCGTTCCACCTCCACGTTCTGCATGCTGCGTCCGTATCATCGGGACCCACATCCTCATGAATTGGCTGCACCGGCAGGATGACACACGACCGGATTATACTGGAGTCCAGCAGATGTAGAAACGCCTTACTTACCCTGTAACGCCAGCAGCGTATCTTAACCGACAGCTGATAATTAACGTGCCGTCTGCGGACCAAATTTTTATTGTATCGCGAAGAATCGATTGTCAGCATTTATCCGATTTTGCTTTTTTATCAATTAGTTTCGTAGCAAAAACCTTGCTTCGTAAACGCAGCTCACCGTTTAATTATTTTTACGCACGGTAACGGGAAGTAGTGGCAATGACGCCAGAAGCGGTCAAAATAGAACCTCTAGAAATGTCTACCCCTCCTTTTACCTTTTAAGTAGATTTTGATGGAATATATCCAGATTGGAGTAGATGAAGATTTGAATTTCCAGGATTAGTTCGCTAAAGTAGGGCTCATCGTCAAGAAACTCTGCAAATCAGAGAGTTATCCAAGCACATTGATATTGTAGCCGTACAAATGAGATCTGTAGTGAAGATGTACATCTCATTGGTGCTAGTTCAACCGGAAACATTTGAGTGTGTACTTGTACGAGATGACCAGTTCTAACGTGGATTTTCTAGACTTATGAGATTGTTTGAATGTTCTGAAATCATGCTTGCTCTTGCCCGTGCCCTTGCTCTTCCCCAATGACTTTTCAGCTGATTAAAAATGTTTGTGCACTTTGACAATCGCGCCGGTATCGGTTAACATGTTCGCAATTGCATAACTGACTTTTGAATAATTCGCTAACTCGTAACATCACCGTAATAGGGGCCAGTGCCGTATATGACTGCGTAATATGCTCGTATACTGTGCTGACGGAAAGTGAAAGTAATAGTTCTTAACTATAACTTTAATCACACAACAAGCAGGAATAACAACGAGATGGAAAGCAACAGGAAATGGTAGACCGATCGCTGGAATGATCGATATCATTCACAGCAAAGCAAAACCTTATATCTCAGTGCAACCGTGTTGCAACGATTCTAGAAAGTTCGTTAACTTTCACGGTGACAATAAAACATGAGACCAGTCTCTTAGATTGTTATGCGTTATGGCCAAAGCCATAACGTGCTCATCCATGCACACATTCGCAATGAAACAAGCTGTAATAAAACGCATCATGCACAAACACAAGTTTAGCAATAAAGCTCAAAAACATAGTCGCCTTTCAAATGACCGCTATGCGTATACCGGCGCAACAACCGACGGTCACCGACGAACCGTTAAAACCTAGTTTTATCGTGGTACAGGTGGATTAACCCACTTCATTAGTGGCAGCTTAGAAGTTGCCGTTGTAGTATCGTGATCGCTTTACTAGTTTTGCCGCTGATAGTTGCTTTAGTGAGACTGCCAGCTTTTGCAGTACATATATATTTTTGGTTCTAGTGCTCGAATGTCCTACCTTCGGACTGTAGAACGGTGCAGACTAAGCCACCGAGTATGTCGCCGACCGTCCGCTGCTGCATAACGAACAAGCCCTCCACAAATTCCGTTGTCGCTCTCCGCACTAGAAAACCGTCATAGCGGCCTGTGTCGGCGAGGTAGTAGTTCTTCACTTGGTTATACATTTCAGCGCGCTCGGGGGCCAGCAGCAGCTCCATATAGTCATCGTGCAGGCCCAGCAGCATCGTGTGCGAGTCTCGCAGCCAGTATGTATGGAATCGTGGGAAGGAACACGCTGCTTGCAGAAAGCGCACGGGATGCGGATACTTCTCGGACGGACGGAACATGGGCTCGCGGACCTTTTGAAAGGCACCACGAGGCACGAGCGGGCCGCGATCTCCGCGCCGGCGCAGCCGTTGCGTCAGTGCGGTGGGTCCATCAATGACGGTGTAGTGCGCTACGGTGGCATCCGCTTGGGGCACTTCCACGGTGACGACGGAATACCCGCACGAACTAGGCAGGAACCATTCGGTCTCCGCCCAGCGAATGCTGTCCACCAAGCGAGCCGGCGTCCACGCCGCCACGCCGCTGTCCTGGAGGTCGATGCGAACTTCGATATCGCCCGAGCTCAGGTCCGTAGTGGATTCATCGAAATCGGGGTCTTTAACACTCCATACATGACCATAAGCGGCATGCTGCACCGTATGGGCGTCTAGTTGAACGGACACGCCGTGCTCGTCCACATCACAGACATACCCACGCATCAGTGCACCGGACGCTCCCAGTATATCCACTACAAATGGATCATACAGACCACTGTCCGATTCTAAGGAGTATTCCGGCCTGTATATAGGGAGAAGAAGAAATTTTCCCAAAGGCATGCTACCTGCAATGGAATATACAGTTGAACCTGGTACTTGTAAGATACAAACTATTAGGATTTCATTAATCGAACGGAGCACAGCAAAGGCCCTCTAATTCAGACAAAATTAAAAATCCTCGATCCGCTACGGAAGTAAGAAATGACGTCATACAAGGAAGTAAATGTCGCCTTATGAGGAAGTTAAGGGACAGCTTAAGGAAGTACTTACAATATATAGATATGTTTGCACATCCAGTGTTCAAATGTTAAATACGGCACGCGTAGCACATGTAAATTTTTCCGCGCATATGTTTTGACTGGAATCCATAGCATTCCATCGCATCCCGCAGTATCCTCTACGTATCCTTCATGGATCTTTCTAATCTACTTTTTTGAGTCACCGCCGTATCCCACCGTACCTCTGCAGCATGCTTTATGCATCTCAAATGTATTCCCTTTGAAAACGTAAAAAATAATGCGGATAACTGAACGAGTATTCTACAGCACAGCCGCACAGGTACTGCGCTCAACCACATATAGCGGCTGCCGACGTTTTGATTTAAGGCAGCGTCTTTCTGTTAAATAAGACAAAACATATTTGGCAAACCACATAAAATGCTTTAGTTTTCCGTCAAAGTGCGTAAAACTGCATAAAATCCATGGTGCGACTCACTTGTCAGGAAACAGGTAGACAAGGCCACGCAGAACGAACGCTCCACGAATAGTTAAAATTATTCTTAAACTACCGTAGTTACTTAACAATTGGGAAACCAGCATAATCAGACTAGCCAACAATTCCAGGCCTACTATCGTCTGTATTGGCAACACTCGCAATCGAATCAGCGGACGAAGAACGCTTCAACAAGGAACAAGGTTGGGAGAAGAAACTGGGAATCGGCTTAACTGGAATCTAAGGGGATAGTGCGGAGAAAATGCATATGCGCCAGTGCAGAAGGAACTGCTCGTCGGATCAGCAGCGAGAAACGGCGACGGATCGATACTATTGCGTAACTTCGTAGCGCGCAGCACGTGCTGAATAAAATCTTGTTGCGAGTGAACAGCCGCAGTTGGCGGTCTGGTGGATACGTATCGTGAGGATGGATGGCAGGGATGATGAGAGATGTGGCTGGGCGAATAATCCGACTGCAAGGCTGAACTATACCGGCATCGACGGAGATCATTCCTGTCTATATAGTCACAGTGGAGGCCGATCAACGGAGGTGTCAAAAGATTCTTATTGCGGTGATCAGAACACCGCTACCAGTTACATACAGATATTCTCCGGATCCTGAACCTGTCCCACAGCGACGTCAGCCATCTCCATCCGGACGCGCCTTCGACACCCGCAACTTCGTCTTCGGTAATTTGTTCTCTCTGCAATTCGATGGCAATGTGACCTTTCCCCGCGCAGCGTCCTGGACACCCTCAGTCTGACATGGCAGTCGACAGTGACCTTTGGGAACAATTTCCTGTGCCCGAACGTCACGCCGGACTGCGCCTGCTGTGCGGCGTTCGGGATCGTCGGCTTGGCGTACGAGACGGCGCTGGGGACGGAGGACGTCAAGCCCTGGTTCCGGTTTCGCTGCGGGACGGTGCCCCTTCAGCCACGAGTGGTCCGTCGGCGGTCCGGGAGGACCACGAGAAAGCCGATTATCCCGGATGTCGTACTACGAAACTTGCGTGAATCCGAACGCTCCGCCGACCTCCGAAGCACCCTCGATGATCTCCGCGACCTGCAATGGTCCTTTGAACGACACTAGGGACGCCGGAAACCTGTACGCCACCGGATGTGATCACGGCGACGTGCACCCGGGGCAGTGTGACCTTTTCCCAGGTGGATTTTCACGCGTCGGACGCGCTACAAGCCAGGGTGTCGGTGGACAACAGCCCGCCTTCTTGCACAGTTCTGACCGGAAGCCGGTTTTTGGCTCAGTGCACTTCCTTCAGCCCACATCGGCAACCTACTCGACGACGAAACGATGAAAATTTCAATTGGCCTGCGTCTGGGAGCGGATATCTGCGAGCCACATAACTGCACCAAATGTCACAAACATGTTGACAAGTTGGGCCACCACGGATTATCATGCAGCTACTCGGCTGGTGGGCATGCGCGCCATGGAGGGCTTAACAGTATTACGTGCCGCGCCTGTGCTTCAGCTGGTGTCCCTGCTAAGCTCGAACCACGCGGCACGTCCTCCATGACAGATCAACGCCCTGACGGCTGTACAACATTCGCCTGGAAAAGAGGAATGAGTCTGGCCTGGGATGTGACGTGCGTCGACACAATGGCCCTTTCCCATTTCCCGCCTACGTCGATTACGGCAGGTGATGCTGCTGTACAAGCAGAAGAAAAGAAGTCCCGACTGTATGCCTATCTGCAAAGGCGCTACATTTTTTTTCCGATCGCCTTTGAAACGAAGGGTCCTTAGTGCCCATCGGCTATCGCCATTGTGCAGGAGTTGGGCAAAAGACTTCAGGAGCACACAGGAGAGCGTCGATCACACGAGTTTCTGCGTCAACGACTATCGTTGGAGATTCAGCGCGGAAATGCAGCATCTATCCTTGGCACGATGGACGGAGTGGATAGTTTAAGGAAGGTTTGCTGCTGTGATTAATATAGCGAGTTTCTTTCTTTATTACCATAACTGCGCGATGATTATTAATAAAAGCGTTTAATAAAAACACCCTGAAGCGCCGGCACGTGCTGCGCGACATGAACGCGTGGATACTGCGCCAACCGCACCGACTGCAGCTGACCGCAGCACCCAGCGGGTTAATTTGTTAGAAAACGAAGAACACAAACTCAGAATACAACTTAAGGGATTTGGCTTGGTACATAGCACCAAATTCGCGTACATTTACGGGGACTTTCGCTGTCGCGCACTCCCAAACACGTTTTTGCATTGCTTTTATGGTATTTTGTAGCCAAAAGAATTGTATACGAAGGTGCGAAATCCGTTTTCGCGCGCAACATCCGGTTGCGGAGTTGTGAAGGCAACAAAATTCCAAAAAGATTAAATGCATTCAGGTGTACCAAAAGTCTCGTTATGGACCGATCCCTTTCAAATTTTGCACATACATAAATACGCATAACCATGAAGATCGTTCTTACACCGATTCACTGTTCTAGCATGTTTTTCAAATTTTATAAAGAATTTCAAAAATTTTAAAATCGAAAAAAATCTTCAAGTCTGGCTAGGTGTAAGAACGATGTTCATGGTTCTGTGCATTTACGTGCAAAATTTGAAAGGGATCGGTCCATAATGAGACTTTAGGAACACCGGAATGCATTTAAACTTTTGCAATTTTGTTGCGCTCATAACTTCGCAACCGGATGTTGCGCCGGCAATGCACGCCTTTGTATACAAATCATTTGGCTATACAATGTCAAAAACCAACCCTAAAACGTGTTTGCAAGTGCGCGAAAGCGAATATTCCCGTTAATCTACATGAATTTAGTGCTATGCACCGGGCCAAATCCCTTAAGATCGTATAGCATAATATTATAAATTTTGATCTTGGACTTATTTTGAAAAAGTCATTTAATTTCGCCCCGAAACACTTCGGCAAAATACAGCTGAAAGGGGTGAGTGCCGTATATGACTGCGTAATATACTGGTACTGTGCTGACGGAAAGGGAAAGCATTAGTTCTTGACTATATAACTTTAATAACACAACAAGCAGGAATTTCAATGAGATAGAAAGCAACAGGAAATGGTCGACCGAAGGCTGGAATGATCGATATCATACACAGCAGAACAACACCTTATATCTCAGGGCAACCGTGTTGCAGCAACTCTAGAAAGTTTGGTAACTTACCAGATGACAATAAACATTCACAACTTCGTATGACAATAAAACATGAGAGCAATCTTTTAGAAGTTTAGATTGTCAGTCGTTATGGCCAAAGCCATACACACATACGCAGTTGAACAAGCTGTATATAACGCATCAAGCACAAACACAAGTTTAGCAATAAATCTCATAAACATGGATTCATCTTGTTGTCAATACAACAACTTGTTTCCAAGCTGCTTCACAGATGTCATGATTGCACAGTGACGTTTACCAAAACTGCAAAACCTGTACCATGATTCAGCCGAGCTCCAAAGACGCAGAAACACCGCCATCGGCCGGAGTCTAATTATTCAGTCTAATCTAATGTGTATTGCTCTTATGGCTGGAAGCACCAGATTCCTGCCTTAAAAAAGGGCAATTTTCAAGATTTTATTTCAAGAATTGTCAGAAACGGGCGCTGTTCTAGTCCGATTCCTTATGTTGTATGGAAATGGGACGAGTGCAGCGATGTGGAGGAATTCGCTATACAAGTACAGCGGATTGCTCCATATCGCTGCGCTCGTCCCACTTGGCCCGTTAGGTCGCCGGGTCCGGGGCATCGTGTGGCGTCGAATCCCCGAAACCCGTGCGGATCGTCACGACGGAACTTCCTGTTGGCAGTGTTGTCTGTTCTCCCGCCACTCCCAGCAACTACCGCCAATTTTCTACTGAATATTGTACTAGTGCTATTACTGCACAGTGCACATGACTACTTACTTTACTAATACTCGTATTATTAATTTTTATCTGTACTTCCTTATTTACTATTGTTCAACTGTCGCTTTACGCCGGGCGTTACAGTAGTTGTTCAGCTCATACATCACAATTTGCGCTCTTAGTCACAGACTTTTGCCGGTTGCCCTGTATGTCACACATCGTCAACCTAGTGAAACAGACCCATTTTTTTTAAAATTTTTTTACTGTTTTAATTTAGTTGCACGCGTGAAGAATGTTTGTCCCAGTAACGGGGCACTTCTGCCGGGAAGATGTCCTGCTGCAAGCTAGTAAAGTACGGCTATCAGCTATGTTTTTGTAAACCAGAATGATAATTTAGAAAGGCTGGTGAGCATGCCTTCACCATGACAGCATCGGCCGGTATATAACGCCATAATTCCACCGCACATTTTAAAGAACTAACTATTCTTACGACAGCCAGAATATATTATGGTAAACCGGAGATCGTAGAATGTTTCGACAATTAGCGTTGTTGGCATGGGCGCTGTGTGCCCGCATCGTCTGCAGTCTGGACTGCGAGGAACTAGCCGCTCAGTGCCAGGAGTATGGCAAGCAAGAGCGCCTAACCGTTGAACGCTTAATGAGCTTGAGCATACCCTGGCCGTTGACCGCGGAGGTCCTGCGGGAATACCAGCCGGTGGACGAAGCGTACTGCCGGTTGGTTAACGTTGCTTCATTTATTCGCCGCATTTCTATTATTAGTGCGTCATTCTGTCATTAAGGATAATTACACGTTATTGCTTGTGTTCATCTGGCCATAACCTGTGGTGATAGTACAGCTGCTTTTAGGATTGTATGTCTTGGTTTCGATTTCTTAGCTGGGTAACTTTCTGCTCCAAAACATTTTCCAGTAGCCTCGTATGGTATTCCCGTTAATGGAGTTTGCTGCTGTTCGGTAATAATAATAGTAATAATAATAATTCATTGATAATGTTTTCCATGCGGGTGCTTTGCAGATACTCCAACAAGACCGGGCGGAAGCGACGGCGAGAGAACACCCCATGTTTCCCTGTATATTAAGGCGGATGAATGTTGTATGAGCGGTTCACCGTGTGTGACAACCTGTTCTGACCAGCGTGCCTTGAGCGTAGCACGACCAGGCACATTCACCGGAAACTGCCCATTTTATTTCTAAACCCGATTTGAGTTTTGTGGCTTCTTCCGTTGGCACGAGACGCGTTCTAATCGACCGAAGCGAAGCGAAGGTCCTCTATGTTCAAGATAACAGGAGTTTTTGTCGGTCATGTCGGTCACGCACTAATCTGTCCGTCGGTCACGCTGCTCACGCACTACGTAATAGCAGAAAGCCGATAATATTATTACAGGGTAGTGTGAGGTTATATAGGGGGG